CCGCCACCGCGCGTTGCGATAGTCAAGGACAGCATGACCCAAGTTCAGGTGGCCAGCGACTTGGCCGCCGACTACTACGTCAGGGAGGTGCTGGGGAAGACTGCAGCCCTGGCGGTGCAGCGGAGGAAGGAGACTGGCCCGCCAACCAAGGTCAAACTCATGCCAGACGTGTCGAGGGCGATTTTTCACCAGGATGGCGCTCAAGCTCATCACGCTAGGAAAACCCAGGACTGTTGCCGCTTCAACTTCCCGGGCTTCTGAGAGAAGGATACGTGGCCAGGCAACAGCCGCGACATGTCGCCGATCAAGAACTCTGGGCGACCGTCAAGGAGGAGCTCAGCAGGATGTCGCTGGCCGTTTCAGAGAAGACCCTGTGTCATAAGGTGCAAGCGGCGCAGTGGAGGTTCAATGCAGAGACTCTCGACAACCTGATGTGCGGCATGCCGGAGCGCATGCGACAGCGTATGCGTACAACTGCGCGGTGACTATATTGGCAAATAAATCATGAACCGATGTCAATTATATTCTCTGTTAGTCAGGACGATACACCCGCGCATCAGTTTTGGGCCGCCCTGTACATTGCCGGCTTGGTTTCTCCAACGTAGGGATAAGTGGATCAGCCTGCGCCGGCATGATCTGTTTCACATGCGACACGTGGAGGTTGTCGTCAGTAGCGCCGCCCGTTATCTTCACGAGGCGGTGTCCGAGCAATCTGGCTGATCTGGTCTGATCTGATCTGATCTGATCAAGACTGCGTCTGCACCCTGTAGGAATGCCTGCGGGCCGCCCGGTCGTCTGTCAGCTGACTCTGTCTGCCGCTAAATTGTCACGTGACCGGCACCGAACTCTGTCCGCTAGATGTTGTCATCCGACTGGCTATATCTCTCTGAATGTCACAGGGTTTTCATCCGACAGCCGCCTGACCCTACACCTGTATCAGAGCCGTCGTCCCATCGCCTATCATAAGGCTCTCATTTTAAGGTTCTCATCATCTCATAAGGCACTCCTGTCCAGTTTGCCGGCCACATAACTCCCACCTGACCACGCTGCACGACATGCCGGCAGGACTGCTTGAAGGCCATCGGCAAGGCCTATCACCCGGAGTGCTTCGCCTGCGCCTACTGCGGAGGTCTGTTCGGCAACTCAGCCTTCTTCCTCGAAGACGGACTGCCCTACTGCGAAAACGGTGAGACGCGAAAGCAGAGGGTATATGCCCAGGACACCAGCCTTGCATTGCGGGCGGGTATGAGGACAGACGTGACAGGACAGAATAGGACAGGTATGAGGACTTTAAATAAGTATGACAGGGCAGGACAGGACAGAACAGGGCAGATATTAGGACACAGAGGAGAGGTATGACGGGCCTGGACAGGTGTGATGACGAGCACGAGAGGCCAGAACAGGACAGGTATGAGGACGGTGGTAAGGTGGTATGAGGACAGGTAAGGCGGGTGTGTCAGGCCAAGACAGGCGTGAGGACAGGCATGACGGGGTAGAACGGGACAGATATGGCAGGACAGGACAGGTATGTTGACAGCCATGGCAGGACGGAAAGGGACAGGTATGTTGGACAGGTGCGACAGTACAGAAAACGGGTATGTGGGCAGATATGACAGTAGTATGGATATCCTGTCGGCTGCTGGATGGCAGAGCGCCTCTGCGATGTTGTCGTAGCCACTTCGCCCTGTCGTAGTGTCATCTTGCCTTGCCGAGGCATTGCTGTGGAGTCAGTGATCTTGTCCCGCTGCCCCGTCGCGGCGCTGTCATGGCGTCGCACTCTCGTCCGCGACGCCATGTTGTGACGCTGCGACGCCATGTTGTGACGTCACAGACTGGAACGAGCTGTTCACCACCAAGTGCGTCGGCTGCGGCTTCCCGATCGAGGCCGGCGACCGCTGGGTGGAGGCCCTCAACAAGAACTTCCACTCTCAGTGCTTCAAGTGCGCGGTGAGCAGCTGTTGGAGCCGGACGGCCGGACCGACGGTCCCGCCCCTGCAGGGCACGCCGTTTGACCCAGACCTGACCGGCTGCGCGTGGAGGTGTGGCTAAGCGCTGGTTTGCTCCGTTTGCGGTGCTTCTTCTCCGGCGATGAGTTTCCACGATGTGGCCGTTTGGTACACGTGTTAACTTGACAGTTGGAGAGCAGCGATAAAAGCGCCTTAACACCTTGACGGGAAGGTATATCGTCAAGTATACATGTCACGTTTGGCTTTCATCTTAGACATAACCACCGGTTCCTTCTCCTTCGTGTGGCTTGCCTCTGTATTCAGGCGCAGTGTGGCGTTGTGTGTTGCGGGTGTATTACTTCGCTCATGCGTGTCCTTCCTGTAATTTCGGTTGCGTGGTAGCAGGAATTTGAAATCAGACATCAGCGTTTTGAAAAACAAGGTTACTGTTTTCATTCCTCGTTTGTCCCCATTATAACATTGTTCAATCACTCATTCTTGTAACAGGGGGTTAAAATTGATGCCATAACGTAAATTTATGTTGAATGAGTAACCGAGCATGAATTCTTGCAGCATAAGCTAAAATAATGCCTTACAGAGACGTTGTATGCGCCCAAATTTCGGTTATGCTGATGTCTGTTTTGAAAACATGCCCGTAGCACTGCTCTGTCGATATGCCTTGTTTTCGTCCTGTACTCTCACTTCCGCTGCAGCTGTGTTTCGTAACGGCCCGCCTACGGCACGAGCAGCGACGCCCCCCCCCCCCCCCTTCCCATCAAGCCTCCTGTTGGGTAAATTCTTATTCCTGGGATGCATTCGATATCAAGCATCATTCAACTCTTGCAAACAACGCAGGGACAACAATTGGGATAGTTTTTTTTCTACAAAGTTTTCGACTTAGTGCTGATATTATGCAATGTCTCTGATGGAACGCAGTCATCTGTCAAGGTTTGTGTTCCGTATATAATATATATATATATATATATCATGCGTATCATGTGCCGCGTAACCACCAAAAACATTTGGAAATGCACAAAGTGTTGAACTGAATATTCTTTGCTTTGATTCAATGTTTTAATTAACAACACGTTTGGAAAAATTCATCCAAATGGCCACAGGCCACATCAAATTCGTTATCACTTAATGTTTCGAACTTGGTGCAGATTCCCAGAGCTTGACTAAGGCGTTATGTCTCACGCATCGATCTGTGATAAACCTCTGGCGTGACCCCCCCCCCCCTTATTGCTAAGTCAAACCCAAGCTACAAGACTATAACACCACATGAACCAATCCATATTTTTGGGAAGACTATGACAAACCGCCTCACTCTGAGGGCCATGCTGAGTTTCAGCCGCGGATGACAAAAGGCCAATGCTGGTTTCAGCCGCGGATGACAAACACCTTGCTATCCCCGCAGTTCCTGTCGCGGCCGACGGTTACGCTTTCCTGCATGCATCATTACACGGGAAGTGGATGCAAACTTTCGCAGATATGGTGGATCCGAGGGCCCGAATTTCATAAGATTATGCCCTTCCCCCCCCCCCTCTCTCCTCCCCTGGATGTTGGTGCCCTCAGATCATACCTTAACCATACGCGCGCCGGCACTGCGTCAGCCGCGCCGCTGCTCGTGCCGCCTGTAGTTTAAGCGACGATCGCGCTGCTATTCTTCTAACTTTGGCCGCCGTCTGTTTTCTTCTGCTTCGTCTGCGGCTTTTGGCCCGCCGGCCGCAGGTGTGCCGCACTATCCTGGACGGCATGCAGTTCTACGCCAAGGCCGGCCGTGCCGTGTGTAAGGTGCACGCTGGCAAGTTCTAGCCGCCGAGGTCAGTGCCCCAGGCGGAGGTCAGGTCAGGGCACGAGACGCGTGCTCGGAGCACTTATTTGTTTAGGCGCAACCTGATTTTTTTCGCGGTTAGTTGTTCGTTTGTCTGTCAGTGTTGGTGGTCAGATGCGATGTGTGGGCTCTGCTGGGGCAAAGAGTGGCAGCTGCAAGGATTGGCGGAGGGTCAGTGACCTAGGGTTCAGTGTAGGTGCTGGCGGCCTATCAAGGTACCACTCAGCATTTTTTTTCTCGTGCCTTTCGTGTCGATATTCGGGGAGAGAACAGACAGTTATAGGCTATTGGCTGTTAATCCGTGTTAAGTCCTTTTTTCATAGATGTGTAATAATCACGTGTTGACACTGGTGCTCAGCAATCGGCCGTCTAAATCGGCAGGCCGTACTTAAGTGCGATAGCAAGCTAACAGTTCGGTCAACAGTTCTTGTTAGATAACGGTGAAGTATTCCTATGATGTGACAAGCATAGCTGACTCCACACTGTTTCAGTTAGTGTAGATTTTCCCGCTTAGCCTGAATGCTTTAGCTAACATCGCAACCATGGGCGTTACGTACGAACAAGATCCATATCCCAGAAGCTGTGCAACGTGCTGCCTGAGCTTCATCCGTGGTATGTCTTTTTATAAATGTCCTGAGGGTTATGACTTTGGTGTAGAGAAAGCGAGGAATAAGTTGTATCATCCTCTGTAAGTGGGTTTGGGATGCCACATTCCTAACGCGGTAGGTGCTGGACACGTGCCCCTTTTTGTCCGCGCCATTAAAAGTGACACAGCTTCACCAGATACCCACTGTTAAAAGTGACACAGCTTCACCAGATACCCACTGTTTTTGTTTTGTTTGCACCTCGCCATAACCTTTTGCAAAGAGTCAAGTGCGACAGCTCATCGAGCTGCTGAGCAGCATCCCACGTTCGGGACAGCTTGATCTCATATTTATCGAGGTACGTGTTTGTCTGGAGCTTTAGCAGCCCAGCTTCACTGTCGTTCGTTTCGAAAGGCTGAACCGCGGCTTTGGGCGCAGTGAAACGAGCGAGCACAATTCACTTGTCTTACTTCAGAATGCTATTGCTCAAGACGATTTTGAACGCCTTTGTTAGGCAATGACGTATTATGGACACCAGTGACGTCACTGTGATTTCGTTTTTGATGCTGTCCCCAGATCTGCGGCAACAACTTGGAGGGCCAGAGCTTTTTCGCGAAGCAGGGACGGCCGTTCTGCAAACACCACGCGCGCATGTAGACCTCGAACGCGCCATGTTTGGTCAGAGACGTCAAACGGAGGAAATCTCCGGAACGGAGGCGCCCCAGGGCCTGCCTCTGGCCGGAATCTCCCGAGTGAAAGTGCCAGCGCGGCCGCGGCACGTGCGCCAGCCTGGCGGTTGTAGCGTTTTGTACCTCTAGTCTAGGCGATTGCGACACCGGATTGTTCTCCCTCCTGCCCGCTGTATGTCTGGCTGCTGTGTCGCCAGAGGCTACTGCGCGGCGCATGGTAGCCTCTGCCGAGGTGTGGGCGCCGTGTTTGTGCTTGTTTGCGATGAGCTGCTCGGCGTTTCTTGTTTGGTTTGTCGGCACCACGAGCCGGGCTGAAGAATTTGATGCTAGTCAGTCAACCGCGCCCGCTCTAGTCCAGCGCATTGTTTTTCTGTCTTGTTTTGTTTTTTCCGTCTGTCTGTCTCTCTCCATAGCTGCGCGGTGGGCTGCAGTGGCGCCGCCACAGGCTGCTCGCTGCCCGCCTGCGCCTGTCCCGCGTGGACCAGGCCGAGGCGCAGGCGGGCCCGGTGACACCTGACGCGCCCTTCCTCGCCGAGGCTGAGAGGCCAGCGACCGCAATAAACACTAACAGACCGCCGCCAGTGTCAACCAACGGACAGCACCGGCCGGACATGAGGTATTTATTACACTTTTTGTACACCGACGGCGCGGGCAATACAACAAACGGCGAGCACTCGTTAGTGCACACGCGGTGTACACTCACGCGCTCAGTTGTCTGCCGGCGATTCTTTGTACACTGCCGACAGCGAACAGAAGTCACACATTCGAACCGGCCTCGAGCGATGGCAAGGCGGGGCGGGGTTAAAAACACGGAAGATAAAAGAATAGCAGGAATGTGGCCGATCACGTGGTACCCAGTGAAGACCGGGTCCACAGACCGACCACAGCCTCCGGCGACGCTCGCAATTGGGCTGTGCCTGTCGGTTGATATCACTGTTTCCCTGATCGGATGCGCGCCACGGTCACCGCTCAGACCGTTCAGAACGTGGCTCACCACCACGGGCCCCTCCGCCCACACGCCGCAACAGAGCTACAACACAGAACGGGCCGTGGTCTGAACAGCTCGACCACACTGTCGGCGCCGCGCAGACCACGCTGAAACGAGTCAACAGTACTGACGCGCTTCAGTGTGTTGTTACTGCTGTTAGCTCGTGTCAACGAGCCAACAACATTGACTCGTTTCAGCGCGTTGAGACACGATAAAGACGTCGAACACCTACCCGGGCGTATGTCAAACACAGCAAACACAGAGGGTGGCTGTGCTTATTGGTGTAAACAATTTTCACCACGAACGCTCGTGCTTTTGACTGAAATGTCTGCTGTCAGCATGAGCTCGCGTCGAAAAAAGATTTGGCTCGAGCGACACTTCGGAAGCCAATGCAGCTGGGCTAACCAGCCCACCTCCAGGCCAGCAGTCGAGTGGGGGGTTCTGCCAAGTCGATGCACCAGCTTTAAATATTCCACAAGTATTAAAGTTATGTACACACGGTGCAACGCAACAGTGAATGCCAGTGACGGAGTTCATACTCTCACATGAGCTGAACTTAATTTTTTACAGCGTTTGGTATGGCGTGCTGCTCACAAAGCCAGGGAATGTGCCCCTACCGGTACACAAGTCGCACCTGTGAGGGCTTTGCGCGCCGCTCGGCGTCGGACAAACCAGCGTAACAGCAGCACGCTACAGTCAGCCAGGCTGAGGCACCGAATACCACGCGTGACGCACGCATCATCGTCATCGCATGCTCATCCCCATCATCATCATCAAATATTAATCAGGACCCCGCACATGCCACACACTGGCACTCGGAACTGCGCATGCGGGTGCTAATTGTAGCCAAGATCACATTCTGTGCACGCTTGCTGGCGTCTTTCTCCTCGTGCACATCATCGCGCGGCGGGAATGAGGAGAAACGAAAGTACGGCGGGCCGGCCATAGATGGCGGTGGTGGGCGGTTTGCTCTCGCGTGCGGGAACCAAAATCGGTGGAATCACTTCATCACCAGTTAATAATGGCAGCATGTACAGTGACATCGCAATCAGAGTCAGGATTCGCTGACTGCTCAAGGGATCCAGGTTACCAGAACCACGTAAAAATATAAGCAACCGTGTCATGGAGAGCTCGGCGAGCCTAGTCAACTGGGCACGGTGACGATTATTTCCAACGCGAAGTGCCCCATACGCATACATAGTGGCTACGACGGTCCAGATGCTGAATTCCCACAGCAAAAGAAAGCGCTTTACTTGAGAATGGCGACACCATGACGTCTTTTGGCTCCGATCATGTTACGGGACAAATTCAGTCAACGTCTTCGTAAGCGGTGATATCCAGCTCGGCAGCCCAGGTGGCTGGCTGAAGGGAGGACGCGCCGAGCGAGCTGCAAAGCAACGGGTCAAAAGTCGGAACACTCCATAGGTGACAACGGGTCACAGGTCGGTTAAGTCATAGATAACGACGAGGCACATGTCGTAAGGTCAAGACAGGTCGGGAAAGGTCATAAGTGGCGACAGGCCGCTGGTCAGGGCAGTTCATAGGTCAGGACAGGTAACCAGTCATGACATGTCATAAACCGACAGGCCACAGGCCGGGACATGTCAAAGGGGGCGACAGGCCACGGGATCAGGACGGGCAACAGGTGACGACAGGTCTCAGGTCACCTGTAAAGAACAGGTCAGAGGTGAGAGAGCAGAACGACGGGTCGCGCAGTTGCCAACGCAGTGTTTAAAACGGCTTATGGAAAACCACTGCCGCCGTGAGTTACAGGGTTCCAGTCAGATTAATTTGGGAGGGACTGGGCTGAATCCAGTTGTCAGAAGAGCGTGCGAGGCCAGTATCGGAGTGTCGGGGCCCGCTTGCTTGAGCCCACTGGCACAGCCTGGGGACACGACCCAGAGCCGATCTCCACCCGGTGGATCCAGCGTCACCCACGAGTACAGCCCTGCGACCCCGTGAAGCCGCCGCCACAGTCCTGCGTCCGGGCTGGCTACACGATCGCGGTTCATCACCCGGCTGCAGCCATCATCGGCCAGCACGTGAAGGCGCCGCCGTCAAGGGCACAGCCTGATCACGTGGTCCGAGACGACCGGACCCACCTGAAGCCGATGTCGGTGCCGTGCGTGTGCAGCTGGGTTAGCACCCGATCCAGCGAGGTCACCAGCCTGCGGGCGTTCTCCTCGGAGAAGCACAGCGGTGGCGTCACGTACATGACGTTGCGGAACTCGCCCTCGGCGGCGGCCACGATCCGTTCGTCCTCCTTCAGCCTGAGGTCACAGCGAGGTTACAGGTCAGCATGCGGTCACCAAGGGTCACCGTCAGGCGTTGTGGCGGCATCCGAAGAAGTATTGACGCCTTACCAAAAGCCAGCATGCGGCTAATTAAATGTCACCATCTGGACAAACGGAGACTTTCGGTCCAAGGTGAGGCCCCAAGGTCAACACCTAATTCCATGTCAGGAGTTCTAAGTGCAATGTCCTCTGTTACCGAGAAGGAGACTGAAGATGATGCAAGGAATGTGATGACTAAGTGCTCGCATTTTGGGAGGGCACTAAAAGTGTCAGGCATCTACTTTTACTTTTCACCAGATTATTTACGACGCCGTGAATGTTCCCGACATAGAGCATCGTCGATCAGACCGGCCGGCGACCGGCCGGATTCGACCGGCATCGACATGACGCGATGGACAACGGCCCCGACTCCAACGCCGACACGCTGACTGACCTGTAGATGACACACTGACACACCTCCCTGTCGGGCTTCTTCTCCGCCTGGCTGTTGACGAACTCCACTCCCATCTGCAGACCCTCTCCCCGCACGTCGCCTGTGCGGTCGGGCGGAAGAGATCACTCCAGACCCGGCACAACACCCACTGGTCAGGGACACGTCTGGCGACGCACGCGGCGCCAAGAGTATGTTAAACTCACAACTGAAGCTGTCGAAGGGATCACTCCAGACCCGGCGCAACACCCACCGGTCAGGGACACGTCTGGCGACGCACGCGGCGCCAAGAGTATGTTATGTTAAACCCCCAGTATGTTAAACCGACAACTGAAGCTGTCCAACCTTTTTTGGTTCCATCATGGAACTTCCGTTCCACTTCCACTTCCTAGATGGAGATTCACTCGGATAAACTGCTACCAATTGTTAATTCTAAAGGCCTGTTTGACATGACGATATGGATGCCATTTGCTCCCTCTCCTGCTTCTCCTCATGAATATCACCCATGTTACGTGGATGTTCTGTCACATGACCATGAATATTTACGCCGCCATCAACGCAATGCCACCGCTATTGTGCACGTACACCCCACCACGGCCAGCAGTTCCCACCGATCATGGCCCCATCACTAAGCACTAACAGAAAAAAAACAATTACAACATAGCGTGGTACCGGCAATACCCGCAGACTTGGCGACACAGCGGTGAAAACCCGGAGATAGGGACGACACAGCGGTGAATACCCAGAGATAAAGGCGACACAGCGGTGAATACCCGGAAATATGGGCGACACAGCAGTGAATACCCAGAGATATGGACGACACAGCGGTGAAAACCCAGAGATATAGGCGACACGGCGGTGAAGACCCAGAGACATGGGCGACACGGCGGTGAAGACCCAGAGATATGGGCGACACGGTGGTGAAGACCCAGAGATATGGGCGACACAGCGGTGAAGACCCAGAGACATGGGCGACACGGCGGTGAAGACCCAGAGACATTGGCGACACGGCGGTGAAGACCCACAGATATGGGCGACACAGCGGTGAAGACCCAGAGACATGGGCGACACGGCGGTGAAGACCCAGAGACATTGGCGACACGGCGGTGAAGACCCACAGATATGGGCGACACGGCGGTGAAGACCCAGAGATATGGGCGACACGGTGGTGAAGACCCAGAGATATGGGCGACACAGCGGTGAATACCCAGAGATATGGGCGACACAGCGGTGAATACCCAGAATATGGGCGACACGGCGGTGAAGACCCACAGATATGGGCGATGCAGCGGCGGACTGCGACGCACATTATACTGCGCACATTGCCGCGCTAACGAACTGGGCAGGGTAATGGGCAACAACAGCGCGAAGGAACGGTGGGGGAGTGGGTCCATGGCACCCCCACTCTTCTAGAATGCTGATCATCAACCCTATGGTGGCGCTTGGAAAGAATGAAAGGAAAATTCGAATTGGTACCCACACTTCGTGAGACGCTCCTCTGCCGTCAGCGGGGCAAGCACTCATCTCAAATCACGTAACTCACCACATGATCGCACTCATCACAAATCACATAACTCACCACACGATCGCACTCATCGCAAATCGCATTACTCTCCACATGATCGCACTCATCACAAATCACACAACTCACCACATGATCGCACTCATCACATCACACTCATCATACAGTCACAGCTGGAGTAAGCTTCATCAGCTACCAACGAAGCTGCGGATTCGCCCGGCAGGACACGTGATTTGCACACCGTTCAGAAACGTATGCCCGAATTTACACAGTGGATGACTGGCCGGTGCGCAGGCGCTTAGTGACAGCAGGGTACCTTGGGCTTGCACGACCCGATTCTCTTCGTTTCCGTGATTGGCCCAAGGCCTGACTCTCACCAATGTGGCCGTGTTTGTTCTTGAGCAGCAGCAGCTCCTTCTTCAGCATCCGGCCAATCCGCTTAGCCTTGGCCATCAGGTCCTCGCGTTCCATTACCTGCAGAACCCTGCTTCCGATGGCGCACACCAGCGGCGTCGGACGGTACTGAAAGTTCACAAAATATTCACCAGATGTCGGGCACGGAAAGGTTCGCAAGACACTGAGAGTTGTTTGAACCTTTCAGCGTTTGAATCATTAGAAACATGAATTATATTCCACATACCAATCACCTGCACCTTCCTTCTGAATAAGATGGTTTAGCTCGTAAAAGAGGGCCAAACAAAAAAACCTATACAGATTTCTTGGTCTACTTCAAGTGGTCAGAGGGTCGATGAGACCAAGACAGCATGCAAATGATTCTGGGGATTAAGGTGCAAGCGATGTTGGTCAGACAGGCACTTTGGCATCTCTGCACGCGATAGGCAAATACGAGGGACTTGGCGTTGCCATTCCTCTGTAAACCGGTCTTGGATCGTTGTTGGCTGCCGATCTACGTCACTCCCCTCTCAAAAAAGATTCATGCAGACTTCGACCGTCATGAACCTCCCGGGAATGTTGATCAACATATCACGCAGTATCTATCCACCACTTGGCACCACGGCACATGGTCGCCGTGTTGTCCCGGCCACGCCGTGGCTCGTGCACGGCGAACGCCCTGCACCGCTGCAGCACACTTATCTGATTGTTTGTGCGGAAGCCTGGCTTCAGGTACCTTGGTGACGAAAAGCGCAAGCCCTTTTAAGCCGCCACGTGCAACGGAAGCGAGCCCGTATTCTAAGCCTCGACACCAGCAGCGCGGTTTGACGCTCCCGCTACCACCGCCGGCGTGGTGTGAGGCGCGCCCGGGATGCCAGTGGTGCCACGCCTCACGTAGTAACCCAAACAAACCCGCATATGCGGCCACCCACGTGGCTGAGACGCATATCACGCGGCACTGAGAAAAAGGGGAAGGCTCGAACGGCTCTCGATGCTCTGTCAGCCAGCCAGCGCCGTGCACAAAGGCCCAGGCCGAGCTCCGTGGGAATGGACGTGTCAATGCCAGACTTGGTGAGGCAGGTGGCCGTCATGATCCACTACCACGGCAGTGCTTCACAGGGCCGTCAAGGTCAAGGTGGGGCCCACAGAGGCCGTCAGGGTCATGGTGGGGGTTTAAAGGGGCCACCAGGGTAATGGTGGGGTTTACCGGACCGTTCCGTCGTTTCTTCTGATTCACCGCGACGAAGTGTGGACCGGCGGAGTTGGTGGATTGTCAGGGGGGGGGGGGGGAGGGGGCATACTCACCCTCTCTGTGAGGTCGGGCTCCCGGACGGCGTTGAGAATGGTCTTGCGGGTGAGCGCGGCCGCCATCGGGTACCCGTTACCTGGCGGCCGGGAACACCAGCGTCAACGGTACCCTGACAACAGGGTAACACCGGGGTCACGTGTAACCTGTCCCCTGACAGCAGCGGAGCACCGGCGTCCGTCACGGCAGCCGAGAATAGGCCTCAGCCATGTCACATGGCTTGCCCTGGAATCAAGGGCCTCCAGACAGCACTGGCCCTTGATTCTAGGGCACTCTGTCGCACTGCCACGGCACGCCAGGCGAGGCCAGGCCAAGTAGCGATGACTCATATCAGATGTGGGTTATGGTGGTCCAATTACCAGCTTATACCATCCAGTTTACTCACGGCCTGCTGGAATGCCAAGCAACAGCACGCCGAGGCCAGCGATAATATGGCGACTTATGAGGTTTCGCCATGGTCTCCATGCGGTGGACCATCTGTAACCTGCTTGGCAACTCTGGCATGAAGCGATAATGATTGCAAGCTTCATTAACGCATGCGCAAGCAGATGCATTACTTGTGTGGTCCAGTTTCTTTACCTGCACTTCTCGCTGCTGTTGGAAATACCCCCGGTATTTTGTTTACGCAAGTGATCGCACATAACGTCATATCTCAACGGCCCGACGGCCAGCAAGATCACCTTTTTTATCGTCGAAGTAAAAAGAGGCAGCCTGCGCGGCGCGACAAGCCTGTCCCTGACCAGCCAGCCGTTTTCAAGCCATCGACCGAAGTCGGGCGATGGTGCCAACTGAGGTCAGCGGCCCCGGTGGAGGGGGAGGGGGCGACCGCGAGCGGTGGCCGGCACCGGTCCGCGACCCACCAATGGGTTTGCCGCAGCAGATGAAGTCGGGAGTGCCCTGCTCGCGCTGGAAGCCCCAGAAGGTGGAGCCGTTCCGACCCAGTGCCGTGCACATCTCATCCACAATGGTGAGCGCGCCGATGCTGTGGATGTAGCTGTGGACAGAACGTGGAGAGGTAAGGGTGGGCAGGTGCGGGTGTGGTAGGTATAAGTGGGGTGCTTGCAGGGGCAGTACAGAGGTGGACGGACACGGAGGGCGGTGTGGAGGTGGATAGGGGCGGAGGGCGGTGTATAGGTGCGGAGATTCGAAGGGTCGCGCAAAAGAGGACAGATAAGGATTGCGTAGAAAGACAGGTCCGGGACGAAAGCAGAGGTGAAGATATGTGAAGGGTAGCGAAGAAGTGGACAGACACAGAGTACAGAGCAAAGATGGACGACACAGAGCACGGTTTATAGGTAGACAGACACGGAGTACAGAGCAAAGGTGCCCATGTACGGGGCACGGTCTGAAGATAAACAGACACGGAGTACAGAGCAAAGGTGGCCATGAACAAAGCACGATTTAGAGATGGACAGACACGGGGTACAGAGCAAAGGTGGCCGTATACGGGGTACGGTTTAGAGGTGGACAGACACGAAGCGTTCCCAAAAGATATGATGATGTTTGGGGTTTTGTAAGTGCGTCGACCACCGAGGCCATTTGGCGCTCGAATGTACTACTTCCTGAGCGTTATGTTGCTAACAAAGGTGAGCATATGGCATGCAGACTGATAGGCTCACAATCGACAGCAATTGATGAGGTTCTATTTCAGGATGCTTTACAATCAGCCAATGACGTCAGTGGCCTAGGGCCACCGAAGAATGTCTGCCGCTCGGCAGACAGCCGTCGACAGCTGACCAAAACATGACTGACAGTCGGAACTTTAGAAATGAAGACTTGAGTGCGCTGGCTCGAGTACCTACTTCACGAGCAATACGGTTAACTAGCGACTAGACTTCGTTGAGTGTACCGAACCAAAAACCAATGGGAAAAACGGACACATGTGATAAGTTAACGCAATGCAAGCGTACAAATCAGAGCGCAGAAAGTCCTATCAGCACTAGAGCCGCCAAAATCTGCAAATCACCTATGCCATCAAATACCTCCTCCACCTGCATGACTTTCCCATCATCGTCACGAGGAAGTTCGAAATATTCGCGATTCAAAGCCAGCAGTTATCAGGAGTTACAAACCGTCCCGTACCTGCACATCACATGGGCCTGTTATTACCGGATGGTGGCGGCCACAGCCAGGAAGGAATACGACTACCGAATCGCAGCGTGACTCTACATGGATTCCCCGGCCACACCTTACTGAAATGTGACCCAAATGAAGCCCAGCCCGCGGAAACGGCACGTTTGGCGAGCACCATTAAAAACGGCCACGCCTGGTCGCCGGCGACCGAGTCATGGCGACCGAGCCACGGCGACCGAGCCACGGCTACCGAGTCATGGCGATCGAATCACGGTCATCGAATCACGGCCACCGAGTCACGGCCACCGAGTCATGGTGATCGAGTCCCGGCCATCGAGTCACAGTCATCGAGCCACGGCGACCGACTCACGGCGACTGAGTCAAGATGACCTAGTCATGGCGGCCGGGTCACGATGACCGGGTCACGGTGACCGAGCCAAAGTCACCGAGACACGGCGGCCGGGCTCGTCAGTGACCAGGCGCCCGACGCCTGAGGCGATCGATGGCAGCACGTTGCGTGGCGGCTCCCACGAGCTGGCAACAGACCGTCCAGCCGCGGTCGGCCGCCGCCCGACGCTCTGTTGCCTGGCAACGTGCCGCCGCCGCCGACGGCACATCCGGTTGCGACGCGGCGTCGCCAGGTTCGTCGCGCGAGGCGCGGCATTAGTGGCGCGGCACATTTCGCACATAACCCCGGGGGGGGGGGGGGGGAGAGCGATCGTTAGGGATACGCGGAGCATCAAGCGAAGCTGGCGTTTGAGATGTAAGTAGTCTTAGCGACATCAGATGGTTAAGTGACGTCAGATTGAAACAAATTGAGAATGATTTCAATACCCTAGCGACGCCCCATCGATGTAGATTTACACGTTGAAACTGCGACAGGAAACTGTTTTGGCTTGAGATATCAAGGCTAACGTTTCTTTCGTTTTTGTTTGTTTGGCATGCCATGGACAAAGTTGCAGCAGGCTGGCGTTCGAAACAGGGCCTGGGGAGGAAATGTCCCATTTTTAGAGCATCTTCCCACAGATATCTGTCCCCATGGTCAGAAACAATTTTCATGGGACAAGAGCGGCTAAGCTTGGATTGTGGAGTAAGCTGTGGTATAAAGCTTATCAATGAAATGAAATTATTGACTACATACCAGACAGGCAAAAAGCCATGAGTCTTTATTTAACAGCTCTTTACGCTTTGGTTCTTTTCAGACAACGTAAGCAAGACATATGCACTTAACAAGCTACTTTTTGGTTCTAAAAATATTGCTGAGAAGCGATTCCACAAAAGTAAAGGCGACGTCATTAGTGCCACTTTCCGTCAAAACGTCACGTGACCATTCAATCTCTGAGTACCTGTGTGCGCTCCTGCCAAATATCAACGATACAAACTTGGTAAGTAGTTACGTGCATTTGCGACGAATATTATGCACATAGATAATACAGTAGTAATAGCCTTGCTCTTTGGGGAAAAGCCAGGAAAATTGGGATATAGACGCATTGATATTTCGGCAGTATACCTGCACCGAAATGAATAGCAGGAGCCTTCTACTGTTCGTTTCGATAAAGGCATGTTGCCGAAATATCAACGCATTTATATCTCCATTCTTCTGGTTTTTCTCCAAGGAAAAAGGCTTTTATTACTGTCTTACATACATGCAAACTGGTATGCGTCAGCTGCATAGCTGAATTTCTTGGCTTTATTGTATTCTTAAATACGACGACAGTATACCGCACACCCTGGCATTAATTTGGCGTCACACAACGGCAGTGGCCCATGAACAACAAGAGCCTGGAGGGCCTGAAGTAAATTTTTTCTTGAGTCTCGCGCAATATGTGGATATTTAAAAATCACTGAAGTCTAGGAACATACCAAAACCAAAAAACCTGCGAGTAAAGCACCGGAATAGTTCCCTTTTTCATCACCTGGGAGCGCCCCTGTCAGGAAAGTTGTGAAAGTCCACAGTGCTTATGAGTCCTTATGATATACATGAATCATCAATTAATCTGGCATCGCTCCTCTACCCGGAATGCGATGGAAGTGCGCTGCACAACACGGAGCTTCTTCCCGGACGTAGCGCATTTCCTACCTACCAAAAAAAGTTATTGAACTGTCTCTGCACGACTGATGTCTGTTTTTGTGATGTCTGTCGGTTTTGACGCATGCATATGACGAAGATAAATGTTCTATGCTGATGTACCATCATGACACATCAATGCATCACTGATCATGATGTAACGCGTACAACGAATTTCCTGACAAGTCACAAAATTTTGTGGAGCTGTGGCAAATAACACTGGGGGGGGGGGGGGGGGGGGGAGAGGGAAGGGGCGTAGGCTAAACGGTCTGGACTACGAGCATGCTAGAGTTCAGTCGGTACTGCATGTTGTTTTGACAAAGAGGCTGTTGATTCAAGGCTGATCGCCGTCTTACTCGACTCCAACTACAATAGGCGAGAATCCACCAGCCGCAAACCAGTATAACTCAGCTGCAGGAGTCGTAAAACAGCGGCGAGACGGCTCGGCTTGCGGTAATGAGACCAAAGAAGGGGCGGCATGCTCGCGACGGCCGTCCCAAACACGTTAGCGTGCTGAGGGAGGCACGTGGCCCGAGCACGGTCGTACTCACTCGTGCATTTTCTTCAGCCAGCCCCGGGGCGGCACAGCCATGCCGGCGGCCGTGAACACGGGCTCGCTGAGGAAGCAGGCGATCTGAGAACACACACGCGACAGTCACGCGGGGTTGAGCAGGCAGACGATCTGAGCAGCTCAGTCGCATGGTGGGTGGGGAGAGGACGATGTAAAGCAGACGTTACACAGTCACACGAACAACTAGGAAGCAGACGATCTGAACGGGCGCGACGGTCCCGTGGCGGTTATGGAATGGGTATCCCGAAACAGGCGCGACGCAGTCGCGTAAACAGCTGAGAGGCAGGCGACCTGAACCTGACCCGACAGTCGCGTAAACAACTGAGAGGCAGGCGACCTGAACCAGACCCGACAGTCGCGTGACAGTTGGAGTAAGGACAAAAACAAAACTAAAAAGATTCGGGTCGCGTGACACCGGAACGACAAAAAACCGGGCGAAAGATCATAGTCACGTGACGTTGGGGAGCGGAGAGCTACAACACACGCGGACGGCGTGTCACAGAGCTGCGCCATGGCGACAACACGCATGGCATATCATGAAACATGACAGTCACGCTGTAAACGGCATCACACTGCCGGCGACTGCAGCATCAGAGGCACGCGGACCACAAAACCTACCCACATCAGCTTTGACGACGCTGGCACGTGTCTCGTAAGTGTCTGGACATTCTCAGACAATCATCGCCAACCTTATCCGACACCGGTCTTGTTATGTAAGCGGTCTTTCCTATCGCCTGCTCGTGACTGTTATTGCTGTTTAAATACCAGACTGATTCAAACATGCTTCGAACACGCAGAGTTTTATCTAGTCGCAAATACCATCCTCATCAAAACTGTCGCGTGCACTGTTTGATGACGCGAACTGAGCGCCTGGAGAAAGCCAGCTGAGCACGGAGCGACCGTTCAGGGAAAGCGCCGTCGTTGTCGTTCGGGTTTTACGACGCACCCAGCTGCTCGGGCTACCTGACGGCGAGTGGCTCTCACCCAGGCAGGAAGGGCACCGACTGTGGGCTACTGGGGAGGTACGATGATTCCGTCAACAACGACACTGCTCTCAAATCAGGATTGCACGCGCGTCTTCAACCTACCGAGCCTGGTTGTGATACATATACTCGAGGACAACCCTGTTGCTGCTCAAACACGAATCAAGGGTTTCCAGACGACTTTTCAACAAACGCTTAACACGCGCCCGGGTGGCCGGTTAATACCCTTCGCCCAGGCGGCCGGTTGATACTCCTCGCCCGGGTGACCGGTTAATACCCTTCGCTCGGGTGGCCGGTTGATACTCTTCGCTCGGGGGGGGGGGGGATCAGTTCGACCTCACTGAGATCTCAGGAACTTAGGGAGCTAGAGACACCAAATTTACACGGTGTATTGGCCCTGTACCTGAACTCACTTATCTCAAATTTTGAGGTTCCTAGGTTATGGTCTTCGGGTCAAATAATGTCAAACAGGGTCAAACTCCAGATTGGTCTCCAAAGTACCCCCAGAACCTAGATACCTGCTCTAAGCAAAAGGACGCATGCTCGTTAAGGTCAGTTACCTTGTTTGACCCTTTGAAGATCATGACGACCAAAGTCATACAAGACCACTTTGAGTTTTGTATTTGAATAAGCGACAAAGATAGAACAACAAAGCTGTCTGGTTTTTACCTGAGTCTGACTTTCATAACTGAGCTTAGGTTAATGTTATTTGTTTGTTCAATTAGTGTGTTGCCTAAGAAAGTACTTGAAAGATGTATGGCTTCATCTTCCCTAGAATTGGACTTCGCGGAAGCCATGGCCTGACTTTGACCTGTCGTATGTCAGCGACCTTGCAAGGTACACCCAAATTATTAATGCCAAATGATCCAATATTCAACTGTCTATAGCTGTGCACAATTTGGCACGGCTATGCCGCGCCGTTCGGAAACCATTCCAGAAAACCTTTGGGGGAGTCGTCAGTTTGACCCTACATCCGAGCGCGTGTTACACCTCATTACAATGAACAGCAGCCCTGTAACTCCTACCAAAAACCGAACCAAACAAAAACCGACCCGACGGACCGGACAACTGCGCGAGCCGATCAACCAGGCTCGGTGTGTTCACGGATCAAACCCAACACCGAATACCGAACTAACCAGCTCCCCGCTCTTCAGAAACAGCGCGGTGTCCAACGCATCGTTGTCATGACGACCACGCCTTCTCCTCTGCACGCCCAAGACGCATGCTGCGGCCATCGCACCTCCCTTATGACGTCATCCCTTGCACGGCCATCCCAGGGGAAAATGACGTCGGAAGGGCGAGGGCGGCGCTTAGCCCCGCGTAAGACGACGTTGTTTAGACGGTCAGCGTTGGGTTCGACGGATCAATAACAGGCATCGGGCGGCTCCCGATCTCGGAACGAACTAACGCCCTTCGCCATCCACCCGACGGTACACGTCACTGTGACGTAGCAAGTAACGCCATGGGGTGACAGACGATGGCTTCCTTGCAGCCTCCGCTGACAAGTGGGTCCAATGGACAGACATAGCCTTCGCTGACAAGTGAGTCCAATGACAGACATAGCCTCCGCTGACAAGCGGGTCCAATGGACAGACATAGCCTCCGCTGACAAGTGGGTCCAATGGACAGAAATATTGACCCGGCACTCGTGCTTTCCGCCAGGGTGGAAGATAAGCGACGCCACGTCATCTTAGTGGGAGCTGAGTGCGCCGTAAACTCTCCATAACCACAAACGCACGCACGCATGCACACACGCACGCACGCACGCACGCACGCACGCACGCACGCACGCACGCACGCACGCACGCACCAGTTTATAACAGCCTGTTTCGGCTTCGATAGCGACAGTAAGAACAGCCGACTGGGTGTTTTTCTGACGGATCGACAACGAGAGATCACGCAGCGCTCAATGGCCGTCGCTTCGGCTTCCAATCAGACGGCGGCTACACCAGACTGTTACAAATGCCGCGATGATCAGCTGACATTCAGATGCTCAGAAGCTCAATGTCGAGAGCGCTCTCAGAAAGTGCCAAGGCTCAGTAACGGGCGATGCCTCGTACGGCATCATAACCACTGTTCCCTGCTCCAGCAATGTGCGATGTCACCGTTTTACGCTACGTCGACGCTCAGTGAAACTGACGCCAATTTATTCCGTCGACCATCTCAGTTGACGCCGGGCAGCAGCGTGGGACTGCTGTGAGTGAGCTGTTTGCTGGGGCGCCCTGGGAAGGCCACGCATAACTCACAGCCGCCTCCGGCACAGCACCGGTATGTTGCACCCTTCGTTGGTCCACATTGTAGCACATTTCCCCGCGCCCCGCGAGAGGCGGGACACAGGCGCAGCAACCTCCCACAGGGCGAGCGAGTCGAGTGCCCCGTAAAAGTCAATAAATTCGACCCACCACCAATGAACGGTAATCCTTTGCGAAGAGCGTATGGGCTGTCCCCCCTCCCCGCCCCGGCTCCACACACCTGTGAGCGGTGACCGGTTTGTTCGCGACTCGCCGCTGGCCGCACCAGCAGCGCGGATGCGTGGCGCTCCGCTCCCCGCTCGGGACGCCCCCAGGTCAGAGGTCCCGGGGGCGGACAGCACGACACGCAGCTTCCCACTGCGCTGGCTGTGGAGCCCACGTCCGGTGTCGAGCAGCACCTCAGGATCGACCTACCGCCAACCAGCGCACGGGGGGGGGAGGGGGGGGGGCAGAAAAGGTCGAGACTGCCCGGATTTCCGGCGCCGCCGCTGATGGCTGCTCCCACGCGACGTGCGATCCGCGGGGGTAAGTTTGTTGTGCCAAAACTTAATTGCCGTCTTATTTTGCAGAGTGCGGTGTTCGTGACGTTGCAATATGCTGCAGAGGTTTTCCATTCCTTCCTGAGTTTTACCAGCACAATTTGAAGCATGTTCTGCAGTAAGTCAGACGTAATGAACGGGTATTGTACTCTGTGTTAGCCCGCAATAAAGACTAGCCGCGACCGCTCCGTATCGAATGCCCTCTGCCGCGGCGTGCTCCACGCTGGCCCGAGCCCGCCTGCCGCTGTCCAACCACACACTGCTCACTCCCAGCGCAGCAGCGCGCCCGTATTCACGCATCACTCCGCAAATAGACATTGCATTCCTGGACGGTTTCAGGGTATTACACTGCCAGACATGCCCCCGAGCGTGACTGCTAGTAGTCAAAGGGCGCAATTTCGGCATTATTCTCGGGTAGTACCAGCTTCAGGGACCGGGCCAGCTTGCACCGCCTGGCAACCAGCGCCGGGCCAGCTCATCCCGCCTGGCAACAGGCACCGGACCAGCTCGTCCCGTCTGGCAACAGACGCCGGGCCAGCTCATCCCGCCAGGCAACAAGCGCCGGGCCAGCTCGTCCCGCCTGGCAACAGGCGCCGGGCCAGCTCGTCCATCTGGCAACAGGCACCGGACCAGCTCGTCCCGCCTGGCAACAGGCGCCAGGCCGGATCGTCCCGCCTGGCAACAGGCGCCAGACCGGCTCGTCCCGCCTGACAACAGGCGCCGGGCTTCACTCGACGACTGAGGTCTTTGTCGCAGTGTCAGCGGGCCTGGAGCGCGGCTGGAGCGGGGCTGGAGTGGAGCTGGATTGGGGCTGGCGCAACGGTCACGGTGCCAACACACGACGAGCCAGCGCCCCCCCCCCCCTCTCCGTACCTCTACAGCGACGGCGCCTCCTCCCCGCGGGGGCAGCGCCGGGTCAGACGGCGCGCCTGCGCCAAACTGCGGGGCTGTGCGAACTCACACCTGCTGCTGCGGCGGTGACAGTGGCCGGCCTGACCTTGACTGCGGTGCACAGCCGTACACAGCTGCTGGGGTACGTGTCTATGCGCGCGTGCGTGCGTGACGGGGCGCAGAAGATGTAGACAGGAGGAAGCGTGCTGTCCGGGATTGTTCGCATGCACATGAAGCTCACCCGGTGTGAGAAGGAGGGCATCGTGAGAGTTGCGAAGGGTGCCCAGGTCTGAATCCAAAACAGATCCAACACGACCAGCGAGATCTCCGAACGATAAATAGGCGCGTGTCATTCGTGTTTGCGCCCCGAAATAGGCTGCATTTTCTGGGGAGAACGT